TCAGAAGCATAATTCTTCCTTCCTATAAAACTAGTAGGAAAAGTTAAAAAGTCCCAGGTTCTTTCTAAATCTTTCCAGATTTCATGGTCATAAATTCCTTCCTTTTTGAGAAGCCTGGGGATTTTTAAGAACAGAGCCATCAGGAGAGAGAAGGATGGAATTCTTACTAAAGACTGGAAGGTAGAACATAAGATTGCTTCCAAATCCCCCTGATTTGTCATGACCCGAACTAGTAAACAAGTCATACAGTGTCTTGAAATGCCCAGGCCATATTAGGTTACACCGCCAAGAATGTTATCTAACTCTGACACTGAATTATGGCTTTTAATAACAGAGTCTGGAATTCCTGGCTCTTGGATGTCTGTCTGCCACTAGAGAGACCGGTGAAGAGGTTTAGTGCCAAATAAGTAAGTATATAAATACTAAATGGGGAGGGTAACATTGTTTGGCCTGGGAGATTAAGACCAAGCAGAAATGATATTTTTCTCTTAAGGCACACGCAGAGAAGCTAGGTGGAAAACTGAGGCCCAAGCGTTTCTTAAATACTCAAATGATAGAGACTCATGAGAGCTCGGGCTTCAGAAGACCCTTAAGGCATCACCCAGTGGAACCCTGTGCATGACTCCTGCACTCAGCAACTCCACGGCGCCCTCATTCAGTTTCAGTCAGAACACAAGAGAACACTTCACCTCTCAAGGTAGCCTCTCCCCTACATAAACAGCTCTTCCATACTTATGCGCACGTCCCTTTACAAAAGAAGTCTGCGTTCTGTACTTTCTCACTAACCCTGGTTTGACTCCATAAAGCTGGGGCCCCAAACACACTGGCCTTGGGCTTGAGGCAGGGGCAAAATGAGTGGCACAGGCCGGGAGCCAGACCATAAGTGATGGGGACCAGGCCACCTAACCAGCGCAGTGCCCATATAAATGGCCAGCTGCTTTCCGCTCCAGCTGCCTATTGCCACAAGGGACACGGGTCCCTGCTGTCTGTTTCTGTGACAAAGAAAAGGCAGAAATCTGATTTTAGTCGAAACAGCTTGACTTCTGAATAGACAAGGAATAAATTACGGAGTTCAAGCAGCTCTTAGACATCAATTAATCCAAACCTCTTATTTTACAGAGGGAGAAAACAGAGGTCCAGACTAAAAAAGGGACTGACCCAAAGCCAGTTAACCAGAGGCATGTCTAGAGGAGGGGAGTCCTAAGCCTGAGGTCCCATCTCTCCCATCTCAAAAATGCAGCGAGTCAACAGCGCATTCATTCAGCCTATAGACTTGGTAAAGCGTTCTGAACAATCCGCTTTACATCGTTTCTTGTGTGCGTTACTAAGTCATCACAGTTTTTACAGTGTCCTTTCAAGTTCAGAGAGAATATGGGGCAGTAGTTACAAGTACAGACTCGGGAGATCCACTACTCAGGTTTGCAAGCCTGGTTCCACCACCTGCCACATGCATGGCCGACCTACCTCTGATATAGGTCTCAGTTCCTCGGTCTGTGAAATGGGGGTGATAATGGTACCCATCTGAGCATTGTTGTAAGAATTAAAGGAGCTAAGGGGTGCATGGGTGGCTCAGTTGGTTAAGCATCCGACTTTGGTTCAGGTCATGATCTCACAGTTCGTGGGTTTGAGCCCCGCATCAGGCTCTGTGCTCACAGCTAGCTCAGAACCTGGAAACTGTTTCAGATTCTGTGTCTCCCTCTCTCTCTGACCCTCCCCTGTTCATGCTCTCGCTCTCTCTCTGTCTCTCTCTCTCTCTCTCAGAAATAAATAAAACATAAAAAATTTAAAATAAAAGAATTAAAGGAGCTAAGACACATAAGGTACCTACAACATGCCTGACACAGAGTAGGCGCTACATGGCCAATACTATCACTTCTCAAAGAGAGAACTCCGATATACTGAAGAAGAGAGTCAATGCAAAAGTACCAATTAAAGGGAAAATGTAAGACACATACTCTAGAAAATTATGAGACCTGTAAAAAATTAATTATAGCAGCCAGTTCCTTTAAAGAGGTTAAGGCAAAGGTAGACTTTACCAATTAAAATAACAGCCACAAATGTAGCAAGAACCCATGAATTAAAAGTCTCAGGGGCACCTGGGTGGCTCAGTCAGGTGAGCGGCCAACTTCGCTGGGGTCAAGATCTCGTGGTTTAGGAGTTCGAGACCTATATCAGGCTTGCCGCTGCTGTCAGCACAGAGCCAACTTAGGATCCTCTGTCTCCCTCTTTCTGCGCCTCCCCTGCTTGTGCTCTCTCTCAAAAATAAATATCAAAAAAAGTAAAAAATAGAACTCTTAGCACACACCAACACAAGAAAGTGTCAGTAAACCCCCCGTTTTCTCCTCCAACCTCAGACAAGTGCTAGAATACATGAGATAGATTCCATCCTAGGCTCCTCCCCGTCAAGCTTATTCTCTAAACAGTTTAATCGCCTCTTCCCTTCCTCCATCTCTAACTACTATTAGAGACCAAGTCCCTCAAAAGTTCTTCCATTCAGCTAGATGTTTAGTTTTCTCACTTCCTTTTATATGTACACTGGCAATGGACAAAGACAGCAAACACACTCTTTTAAAAAAGGGGAGGGGGGGAAGAATCATTTCTTCAATATCACAACCCAGTCACAAACTGTCTCCATACATATAGATCTACCATGTTGACCATACAGGTCTTTGCTAGGACGAGATTTCAGTTTAAGCCAAGACAAAGCACAAATGCAACAGGAGAATCCTTAAATGTTCAGTAAGCATCAGAGGGAGCTGGAACACTCTGTCTCAAATCATAGAAGTCAGACAGAAATCAGCACAGCTGCTCTGGTCTTCGAGGCATGGGCAGGTCAATAATGAAGAGCTCTTCCCAGGGGCCTTCATTGCTACGGCCTCAGTGCATCCTATGGGTCTTTTGATCCAGTTTATGGATAAGTGTATCACTGTGTACAATGCTTCTCAGGGTTAATATTTATTGACTGCTATGTGCCAGCTACAGATGTATGCATGGTCCCATCCATAAAGGAAACATCCAGAATAGGCAAATATACAGAAAGTAGATTAGTCATTGCCTCAGGCTGGGGGTCTGGAGAGGAAAGCGAAGTAACTGCTAATGCACACAGGGTTTCTTTTTGGAATTAGTGCTGAGGGTTGTACAACTCTCAGAATAGTAAAAGCCATTAAACTGCATGTTTTAAATGTGTGAATTGTAAATGTGAATTCTTTCTCAACAAAGCAGTCATATTTTTCAAAAGGATTTTTAAAAACTGGTGACAAAGTAAAAGTACTAGTGCATTCTAGGAGAATCTAGGTCTTTGTGAATGAGAAACCGTAACTGCAGAAGTGGCAGAAACCCAAGTTATTTAAGAAAAGAAAAAATATCAGACAAAATTTATACGGAAAGGGAAATCGACTTACTATTTAACTGAATTTCAAGACAGTGGCTGTGTTGGGATCATGTCACCCCAAATGCATAGATATTACATGATGGTGTAACTGAATTCTGACCTTCTCACCTAAAGCTAGCAGTTCCAAAAATAAAGGATTTAGAGGAGAGGTGAGATTTTTTTAAAAATCATCCAAAAGCTGATGTTCGTTTTTTGGAGACTCTGAATTTAAAAGTTTACAAATGTAAGGATCCCCTGGTATATTGTACTCCATGGTCACAAAATAGGAGTACTAATTCATGTCTAAAATGTGTACTATTTCCTAAGATGAATTTAGAAATCTGACTCCAACTTAACTAGAAAAAAAATAAAGCCTTCAAGTTCTACAGCCGAGGGCAGGACAGGGACAGCCAGATCAGTGATGGCATCTCAGTGTCGGGAATTCAGGAAACATACTTACGAGTAAAGTGGAGGGTTTGCCAAGCTTCACAGTCATGTATCTCCTTGTAATGAGACTTTGGCAAAAATCAATGCAATCTCTGACTAACGCATCTCCTAATGTGGCAATATGTCAAATGATAATATGGAAGTTTCATAGCTATTAGCAAATACAGTGTTAACACATATTTGGAAACAGAATAATGAAAATAGAGAACTTTGTTTACATTTTTTAGCCTTTAACTTTCAAACTATTACTAAACCCTTTATTCCCACTATGTCTTAAGGATCGTTTGTATGGAAAATCAGCTTTCTTTAAGAACAGGCAAGCCATTAATTGATGCAATGTGCTGGCAGTTCTGGAAAACCTTTTTAGACAGGAACAAATGATGCCTCTTTCTGTTCAAAGCAGCCAAGTTTAACATTTCATGCATATGCACAGAGAAACATTTAAAGAACCTTGTAAATTAGGTAAGAATCTTTTTGGAATTTACAGAAGGGGAAAAAATAAAAAACCTTCTTCACAACCCCTTAAATCAAGGTTTAAATATTAAATGTTTATTTAAAGATACTTCACATGACCTAAAGTGCTCTTCCATAGTCCTCCAAATCCTTGAATATCATGAAGTTTAAGTTGTGCTCCTAGGACTCAATGTTGGGGTACAATCTTTTCCCCTACAAAACTGTTGAGCTCAAGAAAATCTGTCAAATGCTCCTAAATGCTCTATCATAGCTTTTCTAAGAAGTGAACTGCCTCTACTCTTCATTAATTAAGGGACTGCATTTTTCTGGCCTATATGTTGATAGCACTGAACTTTCCCCACTCCACTGTTTGTGTTAAGGTTGACAACTTCCTTGTGAAGACAGCTGGAGTTGATTGCCAGAGACAGACCAATTCTATACTTCGTTTATTAACAGGTAAGACAGCTCTCAGAATGAAAACTTGTCCCCAAGAATGCACCACCCCCCAACAATACAGCCAAAGCTTGGCGTTACGTTTCAGTAGCACAACTGTTTATTAAAACCTGGCTTTTAAAGAAAATGACATTTTTGATTAGGCAACTTCTGTCAGAAAATGCATCTGTCATTACTATCTCCTCCCCCTCCTTCTGGATGCCACAGCCTCAGCCCAGGAACCCCCCTGGGGAAGGAGGGCCCAACTCAAGGAGGCCGGACTGCTAAAAGTAGCTGATTATGTTGACAAGGCTGTAGACGACTTTTTGTTGTCGTTGTTCCTGCCATGGAAGCACTGGCACGCCAGGCCTAAGGGTAAATAAATACGAGTTTGGGGGCAGTAATGTATTTCTAGCCCTGGCAACCTGCAATTATTAAGAAAAACTTATTCTTTCTACCCTGAAATCGCCTCATTCTTGCCGGAAAGAAAACCTCCAGCATATTTCACCTCCCAATCATGCAAAGGATAAGGCAATACTGGAAAAGTAATCATGCAAAGGATAAGGCAATACTGGAAAAGTAGGCATAACTTTATGGCCACCATGCTCTTCTTAGCAGGCTGAAGATTATTTACCATCCTGCCTGCCTGTCAGCTTCTCCGAATGGCACGGCGCACAGGACTTTTATTATTATTTATGAAGTGCGTCAACCCAGCAGGGGGAAACTCCTAACCTCCCAGAGCTGAAACCTGACTTGAAGGAGCAAGTTAGAGGCGGTGAGCTGCCAGCACCGGTAACCCTACCCACCGCCTGACACAGAAACGCCCGCATCAGTAGTATACCTGATGCACACGGCGCAGAGCTGAGTTATCAGATCTGCCGGTTACAAACAGGTGCGCGCCAGGTCCCCAACCGAGAACAATATGTGAGCCCTGCCCCCAAACTTCACCTTCCAGATACTCGTCGGAAAAGTTAGCCCGCCTCGGCGAACCCACGTCCGACGCTTAGCTAACCGCAACCCATTCTCCCGCTCCCCCACCTCCCCCAGCCCCCCGCGATCCGATTAGTTCTCCCTTCTTTGTAAACCCTCCTGAAGTAACGCAAAGCAAAACTTAATCCTGGGAACAGAGACGCGTCTTCTGCGCAGCCTTCCCAGAAAGGAGCTAGGAGGCAGGCGCTGGATCCTTCTCGGCGCCTCCATCCCTTGGGGCGCCCCTCCCCCCGCGTCCGCCGCGCACCCGCCCCGGCCGCTTACCTGCGTGGGACATGGTGATGGTCTCGTTGGTGTTGGAGCCCACGTTGAAGATGACCACCGCGGAGGCGTTCTGTAGGAACGCGTTCCGGATCTTATCCTTGTACGTGCAGTTGCCCTTGGGGATGAGGGCTATCCAGTTCTTGCCATGGGCCGGGGCGGCGAACTTGGTGTTGGGGTCGCAGGCGAGGCGGTCGTGGGCCGAGCTAGCCATGACCACCTCCCCGCGGGCGTCCTGCTTGGGCGAGTGCTCCCCGTAGCGCCCGCACTCGGTCTTCTCCGTGTGCAGCTCCGTGCCGCCGCCGCCCGCCACTCCGGGCCCGGGGTCCGGCGCGGGCTCCGCGTAGGTGATGTTCACGAAGGCGGTGTACCATTCCTCCTTCTCAGCCACCGTGAAGTCCAGGCACAGCAGATGCACGAAACAAAAGGAAAGCAGCCATGTTGAGAGAGCCAGACTGCGGCACGCTTGGATGAGAGACATTGCCATCTTTATCCGCCGGGGCCCCCTCCCCGCCCCCCGCGCCCTCCCCCCGCCCCGTCCCTCCTCCCCGGCCCCGGCCAAACCCGGGCCGGCGGCCTCTCCGCCTCCTCCCGCTCACTCCGGGGCCCGCGCAGCCGCCGCGGGGGCCGGATTCCGAGCGCGGGGATGGCGCCGGCCCCTTCCCCTTTCAGCTGGAGCGCGGCGGTTGCATTTCGCCTCGCGGGCGCTGGAGGGGCGCGGGCGGAGGAGGCGCTTGGGCTTGCAGAGGAGTCCAGCTGCCGAGTGTCCAGCTCCTTGGCCCGGCTTCGGCTTCTCTCATGGGGTGGCAGGGGCCCCAAGAGCGTGCGGGGTGGCGGCTCCGCGCGCTCCGGCCCCGGCGCGGGCGGGCGCGGCCGCTGGAAGCCCGGGGTGCTGCCGAGGGTGTCCCGGCCGCCGCCGCGGAGCGCGCGGGCGAGCGGACCCCGCTGCCGGCTCCGCGGCCGCTTTCTGCCGCGTGGCGGGTCGGTCCCTCACGCTGTGGGCGCTGCGCTCCTCGCTCCGCCGGGCACCGGGACGCACTTGCCGTGCAGGGGAACCTGGGGGCAGTGGGAGAGAGGACAGAGGGGAGACCGCGGTCTGTGTGTGTCTGTATATGTTTGTGTGTGTGTGTGTGTGTGTGTGTATAATGTGTGCGTGCAAGGAGGAGCTTAGTGTGATGTCAAAGATTCTGGGCTCCGCTTGCCACGCTCCCACGGTCTCTCTTGATGGGCGGCAGCGACGCCTGCCGGGCCTCGAATTCAACCCGATTTTGATTTGGTCCAGGGAGAGGCAAAAGGGGAAGCGACCCCTTGGCCTTTTAGTACAGGAACGACTTTCTGCGCCTTAAGTATAGCGAAACGAGGGTGCCTCTTATCGTTTGCAGGAAGAACGGCAGTGGGGTCCCTACTTAGCTAGGGCCGCAGGGTAAGGCAGGGCGGTAGCGAGGACCTTCCAACAGCACACCTGGACTGTCTAGGGCAATGGCTGTCAGTTAGAAGGCTGCACCAGCATCACGTGGGGTCTGTTAAAACGGAGGCTGATGGGCCCAGCCACGGAACTCCCGACTCACTAAATCTGGGTTAGGGCTCCAGAATACACCTTTCTAACAAGTTCCCAAGTAATGCCAATGCTTCTGGTCTATAGGAACTAGCTATTAGAGGAAGTGTAGGCAAGGGTTTCTTTCCTCCCATCTGGAAGCAGACAGGTGACATGTTTTCTTATAGAATGGATGTTTTCTGTATAAGAAAAGAAACTGGGTGAGCTTTTTTTCCACTTTGGTTATTTGGATTGTCAAGACTGGTAGCAGAGGACTTACAAAGTCAACAGGCAAGGAAGGTGTCTTTGGGTTATTATTGTTTATGGTGTGTTCTCCAGGTGTACTTAGAGATCACAACTAGTCAGTAGAGACCACGCCCCTTTACAGGAATATTTTCAGAACTGACACAGCACCGTCCCTTATCATTTAAATTTCCGGTGGTGGTTCTACTTTAACAGTTTCCCTGACTTAAGGTACCTGTCAGAAATCTCTAAGATAATGTGTGTGGTTGTTCTCAGTCGCTCACATTAAACTTCCCACCTGGTATTCTTTCAGAGAATTCAGGACTCGGTGATAAAAACACAAGTCTACCTTTTCCATAAGACCTTAGAATGTTTACAGCTTTCTGTTAATGACAGTCCCCCCCCGGCACAACTTCCCTTTTCCCAGCAGCAGTACAAACAGCTGGTGGCTGCCTGGGGAGAGCAAGGAGCCCCAGCTATACCAAATTAGAAGCAGGCACCAGAAGATCTACTTAGAGGAATTTGTCTCTATGGTATTTGATGTGCTGGTTTTGTGTGTTTTCCTGACTTACTCATTTTAGAAAATAGGCTTCTAGGCAATTGGGACAGTGTTTTTTATAGTACCTAATGCCAAGGAGGCAGACATGGAGATTGCCTGGCCGTTGGTCCCTGAACCACCAGAGATCTGAGGGAAGAGTCCATTGGCCGAAAACTCCTAGCTAGGTTCTGTACAGATGCCTTAGCAAACCAAGGTAGTTCCCCAGACCTTTTTATCTCTTAGCAGTTTTTCTCCAGCCACAACACTTGGGGAAATCTGTATCATTAAGAATGCATGACTACTGCGCACTTGGGTGGCTTAGTTGGTTAAGTGTCTGACTTTGGCTCAGGTCATGATCTCACGGTCCGTGAGTTCGAGCCCTGCATCGGACTCTGTGCTGACAGCTCAGAGCCTGGAGCCTACTTTGGATTCTGTGTCTCCCTCTCCCTCTGCTCTCCCCCACTCACGCTCTGTCTCTCTCTCCTTCAAAAATAAATTTAAAAAAAAACATTTAAAAATAAAAAAAAGAATGCACAACTACTGCTTATCCTTTCTCTCTCTTAGAAAAGTTAGAAGCTGAAGAGATGACAGGGTGCAAGGAGGCAACATCCTAGCTGGGAAATTGATTAATTACAGGAGCAGTGGGCAAAAGAGTAAAATATTGATTATAATGGGAGCTGGGTTTCTTAGTGTTGGGAAATTTTTTTTACCAATCTGGATAGAAAGGAAACTCTGAAGAACCCTAAGGTATTGGATTAGATTTAAAATGGGTGTGAAATCACACATGGATACACCATAGCTCTTTTCATTTAGAGGCTAGAAGCAATGGATACAACAAGTGGCCAAAAGATCTTGGATCCCTCCAGTAAAAGGAACCAGAGCTGGGTTGGGAAAGTCCAAAGTAAGTCTGGAACCTCTTATAGGGCAGTGTTTAAAGCATGATGGGAACATGCCAAAAGGACATATGAGCCAGCTGGATGGAGCTCCTACTGGCCAAATCTGGGACAATTTAAGATCTGCAGAGAGTGGCAGTGCCCTGTTTCTCCAAATGTTAGCCAATAAGGCTTTCCTTATGGAGCATTAAGCCTTGACACTGCTTTTGCATTGCCGTTAATGTGCACCGGGTGTTCAAAAGGAGTTCTACCATAGACTTAAATTTTTTTAACATTTATTTATTTTTGAAAGAGAGAGTGCAAGTGGGGAAGGGGCAGAAAGAGAGGGAGACAGAATCCCAAGCAGGCTTCAGGCTTGAGCTGTCAGCACAGAGCCCAACATGGGGCTCAAACTCATGAACCATGAGATCATGACCTGAGCTGAAGTCAGACACTTAGCTGACTGAGCCACCCAGGTGTCCCTACCATAGACTTTTTAAATTTTTTGTTTATTTTTTCTCTACCCCCAACATGGGGCTTGAACTCACAACCCCAAGATTGAGTCATATGCTCTACGACTGAGAGAATAAAGGAGAATCTAGTTATGAGCATGAGGTTTGCATGAGAGAGATGAAAAGGAGGGAGCAAGTGATCCTAGATTCCCACTGAAAGTAGAGGGTGGGAAGAGTCAAGGGCAGATCTCCATTTCAGAAGGCCCATTCAAGCAGCCATGGGGAAAAGGATTAGCAAGGAGACCCGCTTACTGGTTACTGCTCTTGTCCAGCTGGGAGGGGATGAGAGCCAGAGTAGGGCAGTGGCCTTGGATGAGACTTGGCCCCAAGAAGGTGGTGTCAGAGATCTACTGTAGACATTTATTTTTTTTTCTTCTTTTTTTACAAATAGTTTATTGTCAAATTAGTTTCCACATAACACTCAGTGCTCATCCCCAAAGTGCCCTCCTCCATGCCCCTCCCCCCCTCCCCCCTACATCCATCAGTCCTCAGTTTTTGTCAGCATTCAAGAGTCTCTCATGGTTTGCCTCTCTCCCTTTCCCCCACCATTTCCGCCCTTCTTCTCCCCCTTGTTCCTCCGTCAAGTTCCTCCTAATCCTCCTATACGTGCAAACATATGATATTTGTCCTTCTCTGCCTGACTTATTTCGCTCAGCATAACACCCTCAAGGTCCATCCATGTTGCTACACATGGCCAGATTTCATTCTTTCTCATTGCCATGGAGTATTCCATGGTATAGATAAACCACATCTTCTTGATCCATTCATCTGTTGATGGACACTTAGGCTCTTTCCATGTTTTAGCTATTGTGGAGAGTACTGCTATGAACATTGGGGTACATGTGCTCCTATGTCTCAGCATTTCTGTATCCCTTGGGGAAATTCCTAGCAGTGCTATTGCTGGGTCCTAGGGGAGTTCTATTGTTAGTTTCCTGAGGAACCTCCACACTGTTTTCCAGAGGGGCTGCACCAGTTTACATTCCCACCAACAGTGTAGGAGGGTGCCCGTTTCTCCACATCCTCGCCAGCATCTAGAGTTCTCTGATTTGCTCATTTTAGCCACTCTGACTGGCGTGAGGTGGTATCTCAGTGTGGTTTTGATTTGTATTTCCCTGATGAGGAGGGATGCTGAGCATCGTTTCATGTGTCTGTTGGCCATCTGGATGTCCTCTTTGGAGAAGTGTCTGTTCATGTCTTCTGCCCATTTCTTCACTGGGTTGTTTGTTTTTCGGGCGTGGAGTTTGGTGAGTTCCTTATAGATTCTGGATATTAACCCTTTATCTGATATGTCATTTGCAACTATCTTTTCCCATTCCGTTGGTTGCCTATTAATTTTCTGGGTTGTTTCCTTGGCTGTGCAGAAGCTTTTAATCTTGATGAGGTCCCAACAGTTTATTTTTGCTCTTGATTCCCTTGCTTTTGGGGATGTGTCAAGTAAGAAGTTGCTGCGGTGGAGGTCAAGGAGGTTGTTTCCTGCTTTCTCCTCTAGGGTGTTGATAGTTTCCTGTGTAGACATTTATTTTTTATTTATTTTTTAATGTTTATTTCTTTTTGAGAGAGAGAGGGAAAGAGAATATATGCGCATGGGCAGGGGAGGGGCAGAGAGACAGAGTGAGAAACCTAAGCAGCCCAAAGCCTGACATGGGGTTTGAACCCAAGAACTGTGAGCTGAAGTTAGACATTCAGCCTACTGAGCCACTTAGGTGCCCCAATCTACCACAAACTTTAAAAAAAAAAATGAATGTAAACATTTGAAAATAGAGTTCCTCTTACATGTACATATTTTAA